AGAGAGTGCTTGGGAGTAAAACTATTCAGAGAAAACACAACCAGTATGCATGTGCCCAGTGACTAGATGTTTGCATGAAGGCTCCAAAATTTCCTGTTTAGCCAAGTACTCAGTACCAGAAAAATAATTCAAAGACAGAAACGTAAGCAATTTCCCATACCCTTCATTTTACACAAAAATATTTGTGGGGTTCTAGTTCTAATCTCAGCAACATTACCACTATTCTAGTGAGAATATTAGAAAAACAGCATACAGAACACAAAAGGCCTGATGACTACACAGGGGAATAAAACAGGAATAAAATAGGAAATGTTCTGAAGTGTACAGCTGTAACCTGGCTTTGCTTGCAAGGAAATGACATCAGAACTATGCCAGAATCATGTTAAGACCTGGAAGTCAAATCCTGAAAGCTTAGGAAAAGCCAGAGTTTGTTCATTCGTACACACACAGAGCTTTTATTTACAAATCTATTTTGCCCTCATGTACCCAGCATTCCTATCTCATTAAAAGAACAAGGAGAGAGGATGACTGCTGCAATAAATTTGATTTCCCCCTCCTCCCACAAGACTACATAAAAGTATGAAAACAGAAACCAAAGGAAAAATCCTATTGCTTTAACCTTTTACGCATACACTAACTTTCAGGACAGACATTCTTCTGAGGGTCACACCAATTTCCAAATTCACTTCTATCACTACCAGTGCAGAGTTGACTGATTTGCCCATGATGAACAAGGCAGTAAGGTGCCCTCCTGAGTGCAAGGTTAAGACCATTGCAGCTCGAAATATTCTGGTCACCAAATGAGGACATTGACAAATTTATCTGTTCTTCAAAATACAAGCAGTACTAATGAAAGCATTTCCTAAGCAAACAGGGCCTCATTCTGCAGCCTCAGAATGGTTTTTTACAGACAGAAGAAATACTGTATTTTTAAGAAGGGTCTGTCCAAACACTTACTATAATTAGACTAGGGGAACCAGGAAATTATTTACTCATAGAAACTGATTCTTTCTTTACAAAATGTTCCTACAGTACTAAACACATGCCCACATTTTTCTGCATTGTGGACCCCTTACTGAAGACTGGGATTTACTTAATTTAGCAGACAGCTGGACAATTCCTTAAAGTCATTTCCAAACAGAAAGAGCTTAAGCACAGTTTACAGTTCTCATGGCTACTGCATTTAATGGTATTTTATAAGTAAAAACATCAACATAATTTTATGCACAAATAGCTATGATATACGGTTAAGAATAATACAGACTACCATTCAAATTCCAGATGAAATGTACAGTTGGCAGTTAAAATGAACTGTATACACAAGTACAGAAAATCTATCAAGTTACATCTGAGACCCAAACACAAAAGCACATTTCATCCTCTAGGTCACAATCCAGCGAGGCATTTAAGCCTGAGAGCAACATCATACATCTGAGTAGTCCCACATAATTGAGTTGCATGTGGTGTATCAGTATAAGCACATTCAAGTGCTTTATTTAAACTGCAGCTATCAGAATACAAGTCATGTTACACTTGAATTCCTTGCGTTTGTAAACTATTATCTTAAAGTCTTTAGAGATCTTTTTATCTATTAAAATATTTTTACCTGAAATGAGAACTAAGATGTTAGCAATAAAGAAGCTAGCATACTTTTTCCTCTATGTGTAAACTGCTAGGATTACTCTACATTTCACTACTGAAACCTGATTAGCCAGGGGTTTTTTTGCTTTGTATCACTCTTAGATGTTCTTCTGCTAGCACGCTGTTGTAAAGTTTACATTCTAAACAGTGTTAAGTGTACTGCATCAGAACTATGTGTAGATGAAGGCAGTTTTTACTCTGTTATTTTAGTCATGTATAAACATCTTTTCAGAAGAGCTGTTTAAAAAAACTAAGCAATTGTTTCATGTATTTATAAGCACTGTGTTTTGTAGACTTCAGTTAGTAAGCTGAACTAGCCATTAATTTCACCAGCACATGAAAACAAAAAAAGAAAAAAATCATAAAATGAACATTCAGTAAAACAAAGGCTTACTCACTTCAAACACAAACAGAAAAAAATAACACTGACTTGACAGACATCTGTAACTTAGTATGCAGTTTACCATACAGGAGTTTAGCATACAGAAATACAGCAAAGCAGACCTTTCACAGCAGACAGAAATATAGAAAAGCAGGCGCTATAGCAGATAGAAATATAGAAACACAGATCTTACAGCACTGGTTTAACACCAGTAACAGTCAGATATTAGCTCTAGCCAGAAACAAAACTCAGGCTACTCACGCTCATGGTATCATGCTTGCTTTCTTCTCCTGTCCCAGTTACAACTTCCTTGGTTGAAACATTCCTCCTAGTCTTAAGATTTAAATGATTTACTCTAGCAGTGCTGCATCTTCATAAACCCTAATTTGTTCCAGCACAGATAGCAACAGAGGCAACCTAAAGAAGCTACAGGGAGATAATGCCATCTCCACTGTGATCCACACCACATCATGGCTCAAATACATGAATCCTTCTTATGCAAGGCCTAATGGCATGTGCACAAAATGCCATTAAAAAACAAAAACAAACAAACAAACAAAACCACAACACATTTTAGGTACATTCCCTGGATCTTCTAAATATCCCAAGAACACTGGTGTTTTTTCCAGGATTACATACTGTTAACACAGACATTATAGTTTGCAATTTTCCATTCTTTCAGCGAGGAGCACTGTAGTTAAACATGCTTAAATTTTATAGTTTCTTTCTTATCCTAGTATTTTTACTGAAATTTGGATCATGTGACTAAAACTAGAGAGATCACTAAGAATTCAGCAACAAAGCAGCACACAGAAAGAGCTTTCTTTTCCAAAGAACAAGTAAGACTACAGGTTGCATCATCTAAAAAAGTTATAGATGATACACAAAAGTGAGGCACAATTTATGAGAAAAGATGAGCAAAAATTACAAAAGGCCACATTGCAATAGCAAGAATGCTGCTTGGCTCAGGTGTAGCTATAAGTCACAACTGTCTTGACTTCAAACATTGTTACTATTCAAGACTTTGAAGTGAGCTGGTTTGCAGAGACAATGAATACAATTATTTTACAGTACATCTCACTCCAAAATTTGATTATTAATACCACAACCTGCATTATTCAATCACTTAATTGGAATGTAGTTCTGCTAAGCCAATTAAATTGGAAAAAGAAAAAAGTATTTTTACATCAAAATAGTCTTGAACATGTAAAAATTAAGTCAATAGTAATGACAATATTTCAGTAATAAATACGTTATTGTAAAATGACTTATATTTGGGTCATCTGGTAAAAGCAGCTGTTTTATATTCCCTAGTTCCACTAAAAAGGAAAAGTGCAATAAGATCCCCTATTGACAGCTGCATTCAAAAACATACCAGTTACATAAGTTTGCAAATTATTCTGTGCCAGAGTTAAATATCTAAGCATTTTAACGACAGTTCTTAAAATGCTACCTCAGCAAGAATGACTCAACTTCGCTGCATAAGCTGTGCTCCAGATAAGCAACCAGGTTGATTTTATAGAAAAAAACTTTTTTTTTATTCTGCTTTAACTCAAATTGCTCTAAGTGAGTTCTGCTTGTTTAGACCTGCAAGTTTTACCAGTCATTTGGCTTTTCCATCTCTCAGTTTCAAAAGTATCTCAAGTTCACCTATAGCCAGTTAAGTAAATACTTGGAAAACAGGTATAGTTTCCTATTGTACATCATGGGGAGATTTACCAGAAAACCACCAACCAAAGCACTAAACCCATAAACCAGAGCTAGGACTTGCCTGTATCTGAGGAAAAACACTTCTGTGCCAGACTGTGAGAGGACAGACCAACTCTCTCCAGACAAGCTACATTTATCTGAGGGTTTTATCAGGAATCTGTCCATGAGGAAAACATTAATAACTGGCATGATGGATCAACAAGCCTTAGCCCAGTCTCATATACAAAAGGTCCAGAAAGGCCTGAAGAGAAACTTTTAGGAGTTGTCCCTATCCCAAGGAAAAATGCTGGTATACCTATCAGAACTGTTTTCCTTTCCTTCAATTGCTACTTTGATTTAATAGGTAAAATGTAAAACATCCCTGACCCATGTTTCCCTCCCCCTACCCTGTGTCTCTGATGTTATTCATAGAGAAACTATGAATAGTAACAGGAGGAAAACTATCAGAGAAGAAATGCGGCTAGAACTTGCATGATTTTTTGTCATTTGTCAATTCACAGAGGGTCCTGAGTATCAGCAGCTGTCATTAATTTCACTAGTGCTTCACAAATCCTGTTTCAGCCACCTAACCACTGAAACAGTATATATATAGGCTCAGGAAAGGGCTACCTAGGCTCCTATTTGGAAAGTAATTTCGTAGAATCACAAGAGTTAGAACTTCTACGTTAGAATGTTTCTACTTGCTCTGATGTTAAACATCACAACCTAAGGAAAACATCAGCTACTGTTCTCATGATCTAGAATTGCCTTCTGCTTAAAAACAATTAAAAAATTCCTTCGTATGACACACAGGACCTTAAACCTTAAGGTTACCAAGCTGGCCAGCTGACTGACCAGCACCTTCTCATTGAGAAAAGGTACTACTAAAAAGAATAAATTAATTCCTCACAAGTACTATAGTAAACCCTAGTTTTGCAACAGCAAAATTTTGCCATACACAGTAGTGAAATATTGTAATGGTACTAAATAAATATAAGCACCTTACCGAACAGATGTCTACAAAATCAATTCTGAAAACATTAACCTGCAGCTCATCTTAAAGCTGTATCGTATCTACTATGACATAAGCTAATATAATAAAAAGGTTAGACATATGCTCAGAACCTCTGGCATTTAACATGCAAGCCCAATTATCCAGTACATCACTGGAGAACTTTTTATTCGAGGAAAGTGTTTTACTTCTATCTACTTTGAACATGAACTGTGGTAGACCATAGCTCATCAGTGTAACCTTTGCTCACGACATTGTTTTCAAAGACAGAGAAATCTCTCTCAAAACTTTAACCGCGTGAGAGGCGTTGGCAAGGGAAAACCGCCCGGTGCATAGTAATGTCACTGTCTGGGGAGTGCTTGATGCTCCGACCCTCGCTAGGGTGGGGTGCTTTATAAATAGATGCGTGTTGGTTGTTGGTTTTTTTTGTTTCCCCAGTGGCGTGCCCCAAGCGTTTGCGTGGTGATGGGAGAGAAGACTGTTTATAGCCATTATTAATTAAACTCTGAATCGGCCAAGGAAATGGGGGAGGGAGTAGCTGCTGCTACCTCAGCCAGGCCCAAAATCCTCTGTTCACCCTTCCCCCCTGCTCAGCCCCGAGGGGCTGCCTTGCCACCCCCCACCCTTCGGTCAAGCCGCCTGCAATGCAGGGGCTGCGCAGCGTGGCCAGACCACCTTCGGCCCTGGGGGAGGTGGGGGGGGTAACAGCTCCTAGCAGCAGCATCCCACATCAGGTTCGAACCCGCTCCGCCCCCCTTCCTATTTCCCTCCTTTTCTCAGCCCCGACCCGGTACCGGCTGCTGCCGCCGGGGATGGCGCCTGCCTCCTCACCAGGGCTACCGAGGAGCCCTCACCCCCTCTGGGACTGCCCCCTCCCGCCGCGTCCGCCCCCACATGTTTACAGGCCCCATGGCCCAGGCGGCGGTGGACGCGGCCCCCTCCAGCCCCGCCGCCACCCCCCACCCGCCTCATCCCGGCCCGCCGGAGACCCCGCACTGCGCAGTGGTACTTACCCCCCGGCCGCGGTGGACGGCGCAGGCTGTGGCGGGCAGGGCCGCGCTCCCGAAGGTGCGTGGGGGCAGGGAAGCCGGGGGCAGGCGGGGACGGCCGCGGTGGAGCGCCGGCGGGCGGGCAGGCCGGGGGAGAAGGGGAAGGAGGGGAAGAAGGGGAGGGGGGCACCCGGCGGGCGGCCTTGCCTCAGTTCATTCACAAGCGTCGGCTGTCGAGGGCGGCTCTGTGCCCAGGGGGAGCCTAGCGCTCATCTCGCCTTCGCTCCTCTCCCCCCCCTCACTCGCCGCCGCTCAGCCGCCGCCGCCCCCCCCCCCTCCGCCGCCCGAGTTCCGCGTCCACTCGCGCCCCACCGCGGAGCGTTCTCCGCCCCCCGCGGACGGACACACACATACGCTCGCGCACTGCGCCGCCGCCTCTGCCTCCTCCCTCCGCGCAGGCGCGCCAGGAGCCTCCGCGCGCGCGCGCGCCGCAGAGGGAGGGGAGGCGGGAGTGGGGGCTCGCGCACGCGCGCTTCTTCGCCCATTCCCTCCTCTTGGTGGGGGTTTGTACGCAGGCGCCGGCTTCCTCGCTCATTATCCCCCCCTCTCTCCTCCGTTAGCAAAACCTAAACCAATACCAAAGCGCGTCAAACACCGTTTTTCACGGCAAAAACCCGCTTCTGGCGCAGCGGGCGGGATACCCGGATGGGGCTGGGAGGGCTGCAAATGCACGAGGGATAGCGGTGGGGCCGTTACAGGTATTACATCACACTGCCCCATGGCCCCTCCGTGCTGCGCCGCACCGAGCATGCGCGGAGGAGAGGCCCGAGCTTGGGAGGGGTTAAAGGGTGGAAGACGTTAGCGGCACCGTTCTCTTCCCCAAGGTGGGCGGCTGAGGCGAGTTCTGGAGGCGTGTGTGGTCGGTCCCGGTTCCGTGGCGGCAGCGGAAGCAGTAGCATCAGCATTATTATTTCATTGCCGCTGCTCGCCTGAGGTTGAGGAAGCAGGCAGGCAGGCAGGCAGGCAGCGGTGCCCAGGTGGTATCGCCCGCAGTGGTGTGTCTCGTTTCCTTGAGGAAGCAGCGGGCGCGGGTAGCAGCGCTTCTTGCTTCTCGGTGGGAGTGGGATGTGGAGAAGCCGGCCTGCTCGTGTTCCGTTCCCGAAGCCGCGGTCGGGCGCAGCGCCGCAGGGATGCACTGGGATATCCTCTTAGCTGCCTAAACCAGATCCCTGGAGGCTGCCCCGCTGGAAGCAGAACCGCTGGCAAAATCAGCAGCGGATTACCACTAATGAAAGCATAATGGGTTTAATAATCTATTAATCCCGCGATTTTCAGTGACCCTTTGATGAAGGCTGGCATGTTGACAAAAGGGACGGGAGTGTATTTCAGGGAGCGGCTTCCCCCGCCAGCCTGCAGAGAACAAATTTAGAGAAGAAGCTGTTACACAAGCCTCTGTTTTGTCTGGGGGAGGACGACGAATGTTGGGCTGTGGGAGAGGATACTCAAGGAGGCTGCGAGAGGGGTGGCGGGGGGGGGGGGACGGAGGATGATGGACGACGATGTCCTCCGTGCGGCTAATTCCAGCATGCTAGGGTTAAATCATGGGTCTGGGTTTTTTTGAGGTGCAGTGAATGCGAGGAGGAGTACTTTTAAAGAGGATTAGGAATGCATGGTAGTTTTTGAGGGTGTGAAGAAAGAATTGCCCACACAGGAAGAGATAGTGAAGAGGACTCCGGAGGTGAAGTGGGTACTTAGTTAAAGAATCAGAAAGGTTGTCTGCCTTAGATAGTTTCCATCGTTAACGGCAGTCAGAGTAAACAGCCCTGTGATAAGGTTTCCCTAAACGGAATGTCTGGAAAGCCCCAAATTGCTGGTTATGTTCCCTTAGCCTTTGGAGAAAACAATCGGTGCAGCTTCATCCCGAGTGTGCCGCCGGCTGCAGGCAGTTAATCAAGGGCTCTTGTGCAGGTAGGGCTCCAAAAACTTCAAAGCCCTTCCCGGAGATAGATAAAAAAACCTAACAAATACAAGAAAACCTCATCCTTGTAGGGTCTTCCTGTAACAGATAAATCAACTGTGTTTTGGTGTGATTACAAAATCGCCAGTTTCCATTGCTGACTGTGACGGAACGGTATGTTGATATCCCAATGGCGTTTGTTAGCGTGGCACTGAACGCCACTCAGTAGTGCCCGATGTTGTGTCGTTTGTTCCAGACCTTTGAATTCTAGTTAAATGCAGCAAAGTTTGTTAGCGGAAACAAACCTTTAGGGAGGTTAAAATGTAAAATATTCTGAAATACATTGTAGGAGAGCAGAATGTATACAGTGTATTCCACAAGAAAAAAGAGACTTTGGAATGTCATGAGTAGGTAATTCTCATAATCTTAATCAATGCAATTTTGAACCTCTCTTGGTATCCAAAGATAATTGGTTACAATTTTAATGTAGTTCAGATTTAAAAAACTGCATTTCCCCTCCTACCCCCCACAAAAGAACCCCAACCTTCTACAACATACAGACAAGGCAGAGGTTATGCAGGATTGTTCCTGCAGGCACGTGCCATTCGTCTTTAACGTCTGCACTTACATTTAATTTTTCGCCCTCTTTTTCCACTTTAATAAATCTCTCCTAAAACTTTGAGTTATATTGTGGATTTCATTTAGATTCTGTTACCGTCAACTGTGTTTTTGTGTGGTTTGTTGGGTTTTTTAAAGTAAAAGTGAACGAAAACATGGCCCAAGTTTGGTTGTGGGTTTTTTTTTTGTTGTTGTTGGTTGGTTGGTTGGTTGGTTGGTTGGTTTGGTGTTTTGTTGTTTTTTTTGTTTTTTTTTTTTTTTTTTGTGATGCCTTAGTTTAATGCTGCTGGAATGTAATGACAGCAAAGAGTTTGCTGCTGTCATTTTCTATTTAATTTTTTTCTTGGGAAATTGGATGGAGTCAAATTACCACAGTATTTTCTTAAAGTGTAGCTTTTATTTTAGTTTGTTGGTTTTGCTTGGCCTGTTGTACTGACAATGAGAATAAATATTTGCAAGAAATTCAAACATCACCTTTGATTAGGATACAGCAGCTGTGCATAATGTATGTCTCTAGTATGCATCTTTGTAGCTAATAAGACTACATATCCCAGCATGCAGCTATACTTTCTCCTTAGCTGTAGATCAAAACTGGATACAGTTGACCGGGACCTGTGCTCACTAGGGTCATTACAGTCAAGGAGGCTGTTAACAAGAACCACTGTTTCAACCAGTGTTGAAACTTTCAACACTGCATCATCAACCATAACTGAATTATTGAGAAGATTCATACTTCACTGTTTGGAACAAGAAAATCCTATTAGCACAATAAGGCATATTTAAAATGACCTGCTCTTTTGTGATACATTTTTAGAGAATATTATTTTTAGAGATTATTTTTTTCCACTTCCTGTTACAGCTTTAAAAAAGTATTTAAATGAATGGTATTTGCCAAGAGTATTTCTAAATAAAATCTATCTATCTAAATAAATGGGTATTTACCACCTATGCACGCTTGGTTATTGCAGGGAGGAGGATGATTTTGTCCAATGCATTCATTAAAACAGTCAATTTAGAAAATTTCGCACTTTTCCTGATAAAGTTGTTCCCAATAGCATCACTTCCCATCAAAAAAGAATATGGGACTGCGGTTGCTACTGGGATCGAATGGCAATTTAATTCCAGTGTGGAATCAGTTTCCACTGCAAGGGCCATATTCTGTCTGAGTCTGCTGTAATCTCTTGTGTGTTGGTATTGCCCAAAGCTCCTTTTAACTCTTCAAGTTTTAATACCAGTTGGTTAAACTTCTTTTATTACAAGGCATATCACGAGGTAGGGGAATTTTGACTGTACGTTCTTTAAACAGGGGACATTTAGTACAAATATTAACTGTCATAGAATCATGGAATAGGTTGGGTTGGAAGGGACCTTTGAAGGTAATTTTTCAACTCCTCCTGCAATGAGCAGTGATATCCTCAACTACATCAAGTTGCCTAAAACTACATCCAGCCTGTGCTTGAATGTTTGCAGGGATGGTTGCATTCCACAACCTCTCTGCGTAGCCTGTTTCAATATTTTACCACCCTCATTGTAAAAAAATTTCTTCCTCACATCCACCCTGAATCTCCCTTCTTTCAGTTAAAAACCATCACCCCTAATCCTGTTGCAACAGGCCTTGCTAAAAAGTCTCTCCCCATCTTATAGGTCCCTTTTAAGAACTGAAAGGCTGCAGTAAGGTCTCCCCAGAGTGTTTTCTTTTTCATTTTCAACAACCCCAACTCTTTCAGCCTTTCATCATAGATGTGTTCCATTCCTCTTTCATTTTTGTGGCCCTCCCCTGGACCTTTTCCAACAGATCCATATCTTTCCTGTACTGAGAATTCCAAAGCTGGATGCAGTACTCCACGTGAAGTTGCAGGATTTAGATTTCTTGATTTCTAATTGAAAAAGCTGTACTTCGTTCAGTGTTTCACATGTAGTTCATTCAAAAGGTCAGAAAAAGCAGAACCTTTAGGTTTCAGCTTCCCTTTCTTATCATCCCAGTTTCCCCTCTCTATGTTGTCTGATGTAGGCAGGAAGTAATATATTTGAAGTTACTCTGCACTCTAAGAGCTAGTAGACTGTGGGATTTTGTTTTGCTTGGAATAGGAGTTGTATCACCTAACAATACTTACCTAAATACTAGATACATAATTAAGCTGTTGTACAGGCTGTCGTGGTCCAGTGGAAGGAGACAGGCAGCTTCATGTGGTTGTTACTGCAGTGCTTACACTGGTGTCTGAAGTATCACAGTATCACAGTATGTTAGAGATTGGAAGGGACCTCAAAAGATCATCTAGTCCAATCCCCCTGCTGGAGCAGGAATACCTAGATAAGGTTACACAGGAACGTGTCCAGGCGGGTTTTGAATGTCTCCAAAGAAGGAGATTCCACAATCCCCCTGGGCAGCCTATTCCAGTGTTCTGTCACCCTCACTGAGAAGAAGTTTCTTCTCAAGTAGGTTGGATGTGTTGCCTTCTGAAGGTGAATTTTCTCTCCTATAGTTTTTATGACTACAGAAGATTCTGAAATGACCACCTAGACTAGACCGTTAATTTTTAGGTGGCTAAAATTAATTATCTGTGGTGCTTAGAGGTTATTTAAGAAATCTCAATGATATGCATGGCTTGCCATAGTGTGATCGTGAACTTACCAGAACTTTATACTTGACTTGTGAAATACTGATGCCCTGCCCTGTCTTTTCTCCAGTGTGCTGTTCCTACTTTTGGACTCTAAATGCCAAATTGATAACTTGCTGCAGGCTTTACATCTTCTTGTTACTATTCCCACAACACATTTATGTGATGACGTGTAGGTACCTGGCAAGGCAGCATGCCGTTGGAAACTCCATAAAATGTGAATACTGTAGCTATGATTAATAATCATATGATGTTTAAATCATCAAAAGTACACACCTAGGGTGTATCCTGTAACCAAACTGAGTTTACCTGAGAGAGGCACAAAGACTTTGGTCTTTTGAAGAACATCATATGCAGACATCGCAAATTCTTGAAGTGCAGCAGTTCCGATACAATTCGCTTTCTGCTGAAGTCTTGTGAAGTGCTGTGCAAACAGCCACACTTTGGCCCTTCCGAGATGAAATTTATGCTCTCCTAGTAGCTTTTTAAAACAAGTTTCAAACCATTAGCACATTTGTCAAAAGACACATGCTAGTAATTTTCAATCTACAAAATTAGGTACAAAATTATTAGGGCATCGCAACATGGTATTCTTATTCTAGCAGTGAGAGAAAGCAAGCAATTCTTGGTCATGAGTTTTATTTTTCCAGTGAGAATTTGCTGAAGCAATGCAGGAAAATCACCAGGAGCAAAGTACAGTAAAGATCAAACTATCACTAGAGTGGAAATCCTTTTATGCTGAAAATTAATATAAAGCTTTATTCTAGATTGTGGCTATTACTTTTGTCCCACTATTTTTATCTTCCATTTTTATGTGAAATACAGGAAAAACATGGGACTCCCAATTTCTTCAAAATTTTCTGCAAAGATGTCCAAAGTAAGATAACAAAAATTCAGGCAGCTCAGGAAGATAACTGCAGTTTGTCTAGGTTCTCAGAGCTGATAAAATCACCTGCATTTCACATGCTTCTTTCTATGTGTAGCAAAATGTCACTGAAGACCTGGGAGCCAGGAAGCTTTGTTTTTCATGTGGAATGGCAAAATTAAAAAAGAATGTCAATATAGTCTACAAGCATTTTAAAGAAAATAAAAAATGAGGGGAATACACCTTATTACCTCTTCATCTATCAGTGGTCAATGCTTACTTCTTCGTGGTCAGTTGCTGAAAGTTTAATTTTCTTGACAAGATCTTTTGCTGTAAGACGAGCTGTGAAGTAGAAAACAATGAGAATATTTTATCAGCTAGGCTTTAGCCCATTCTGTTCACTAGATGGTTCTTGTGTTTTAAAAATGTGAGGGTAAATGTAAGTTGCTGTCTTCATGTGCTATTAGTAGTCTGTGCATGAAGGCCTGTATCCTCACTGAAACTGGAGACAAAGCTTCCATTGATCTCAGTTTGCAGGATCAAACCCTTAGTCATTAGCATGTTGTAAAAACAGCTGTTATCCCAGCCAATTTTAATGGACCTGCCTACAACTGTCAATTGTTTAATCTAAAAATTAGCTTAGAAATCACAGATAGAATTTCATATCAGACTGTTGATGCATAAGAATACTTCATACTGAGTCATCGAGAGTCTTGTGATGTTCTTAGAGTCTTATAATTATTAACATTCGAGCAAGAGATTCTGAAATTCATAACAGACTGTAATTTCCAGATGTGAAGGAGATTAGCTCTGATGAGAGGATAAAATTTATATTCTGTAAACTCAATTTTTTGGTATTACTAGTCTTTTTTGTTAAAATAGCTGGATCTAGTTGCCTTCTTTGTACAGCCAAACACAACTTACTTTTTGCTATGTTCATTGATACAAATCTGCTGAATCAGTTGTCTCTTAACAAACCTGTTAGTTGGGACACAACTGAGGAGACAATTCTCTGTGTGTGTTAATTAAACAGTTAAATTACACTAAAAGCAACATGTCAGAATTGAACAGCCAATGTGTGGAGGTATTTGAAATCTGAACCTTGCTTAGTATTTTTCAAAATAGGTTTTCCACAGTGCCAAGGATTCTGGAGAGTCCAGGATTTAGAGGTTAACCTTATTCTGGAGCTGGATTTTACCACTTACACCTTTTTTTTAGTTGACAACATAACTGAAGTTTAAATTCAGTTTCATTATGTAGGTGCTGATGTGGTATGACTGTCAAAAGTAAAGACATTGTTTCATGTTTGCTGGCGTAAGGGACACGATAAAAATGGATATGAGATCACAAGCTATATTTGATGGTTTTCTTAGAAAAGCAAAACAAGTATAATTTGCATTTTTAGCATTTTTGTGATAACCCATGATGGTGTGTTTCTTTATGGATGGCGCAGAACAAAATACTAGCAAAGCATTACCACTGTGAAAAGAATATGCTTGTTGTACAGGTCAAGGTCAGAGTTTCAGGAGGAGGAACCTATCAGGAAAAGATGAATTGCAGGTCGCTTTAGCATATGTTTCTTTGTAGAACATTTAAGTGCAAGTTATGTGATACAGATTTGTCTCAGAGTATTACTCAAACCATGGATGCTACTTAGAGATGATCCAAGTCTCCACCCTAAACAGAAAGATATCCTTCCATTTTGGGAAATTTCAGTTAATCCACTGGATTAGGAGGCCAGCTACTTTTTGAGAGGTTTGGGAATGTGTTTTCTTTTAAAGACTCAAAATATGTTTTTTTGATTGTTTCAGTTTATTGTATATCACTCATGTATTTATTAAGATAAATCTGTGTTTCCATTATATTTGTGTGCGTGAAGGCATACATTATATTTTTACAAACACATTTCTTTTTTTCATTTTTTAACCTTTATAGGAATAATCAAAATATTTGTCTAGTGCTTGACATTTATTGTGTTGCATTCTCATTACTCCCCTGTGATGTTTCTGTGGTGGGCATACAGAGCTGATGGACAGGGGTAGAGCAGATGATGTCATCTACCTGGACTTGTGCAAAGCGTTCGACACTGTCCCACACGACATCCTTGTCTCTAAATTGGAGAGACATCAATTTGATGGATGGACCACTCAGTGGATAAAGAACTGGCTGGATGGCAGCACACAAAGAGTTGTGGTCAATGGCTCAATGTCCGGCTGGAGACCAATAACAAGTGGTGTCCCTTAGGGATCGGTGTTGGGACCGGTCTTGTTCAACATCTTTGTCGCTGACATGGACAGTGGGATTGAGTGCGCCCTCAGCAAGTTTGCCGATGACACCAAGCTGTGTGGTTCGGTTTATACGCAGGAGGGAAGGAATGCCATCCAGAGGGACCTTGACACGCTTGTGAGGTGGGCTGATGCCAACCTCATGAAGTTTAACTGTGACAAGTGCAAGGTCCTACACCTGGGTCTGAGCAATCCCAGGCACATCTACAGGCTGGGCAGAGAAGAGATTCAGAGCAGTCCTGTGGAGAAGGACTTGGGAGTGTTGGTTGATGAGAAAATGAACATGAGCCAGCTTCAGTGTGCACTCGCAGACCAGAAAGCCAACCGTATCCTGGGCTGCGTCAAGAGGAGCGTGACCAGCCGGTCGAAGGAGGTGATCCTGCTCCTCTACTCTGACCTTGTGAGACCTAACCTGGAGTATTGTGTACAGTTCTGGTGTCCTCAACATAAAAAGGACATGGAACTGTTGGAACAAGTCCAGAGGAGGCCCACGAGGATGATCAGGGGACTGGAGCATGTCCTGTATGAAGATAGGCTGAGAAAGTTGGGGCTGTTCAGCCTGGAGAAGAGAAGGCTGCATGGACACCTCGTAGCAGCCTTCCAGTATCTGAAGGGGGCCTATAGGGATGCTGGGGAGGGACTCTTCATTAGGGACTGTAGTGATAGAACAAGGGTAACCGGTTCAAACTTAAACAGGGGAAGTTTAGATTGGATATAAGGAGGAAATTCTTTCCTGTTAGGGTGGTGAGGCACTGGAATGGGTTGCCCAGGGAAGTTGTGAATGCTGCATCCCTGGCAGTGTTCAAGGCCAGATTGAACAGAGCCTTGGGTGACATGGTTTAGTGTGAGGTGTCCCTGCCCATGGCATGGGGGTTCAACTAGATGATCTTAAGGTCCTTTCCAACCCTAACTATTCTATGATTCTATAATTTTAGGTTTTACTTTATTTTATACCCAAAATAAACAATATAATACCTTGTTAGAGCCAAGATGAGGAAGAGGAAAAAAGCTTGTCTTACAACCATGAGAAAAATGATGAGGTGAAAAGGGAAAATGGTGGCAATGTTAATTCACAGCAGTCTGCTGAAAACAGGATTGAATCATTAGCTCACTCTACAGTGGTCACAAAATTGCCATTCTATGACATAAATTTCAATTAATATAGACAGTGTCTCAACACAAAAGTAGCAGTCGACCTGAGCTGAACCCATGTTACATGAGAAGCTCATGACCAGGAACAGTTAGCAAACACGAATTTTCCTGCAAGTGCAAACTGAAAAGCAAAGTTACGTACCTGCAAAGCACTAAGCAAACATTTCATTCTGCTGCTCTCTAGGCAGAAATTGTGAATCCTCAAAAATAGCTGATGTGGAATGCTGCTTTTTCATCTTGCTGTGAAAGCAACCTGCTGAGAAACCTACAGTAAAAACCACCACCACCCTAATGCAATTTCTAGTGTTGCTGACAAAAATGAAGTTTAGGATCTTTTCTTAACATGAATCCTAGAAGCACTGAAGTTTTTCCAATGCCTTTCAAGTTAAATTCAAGATTCCCACTGACATCAGTGAGTCTGGATTGGGTTTATGTTTCTTATTTGCTCGGGGAAGCATTAGTACTGTCAAAATAACTTCCATCAGTTTAAGATGGATTAATGATACAGCAGTCACTTTTCATAAAATCATAGAATAATTTTGGTTGGAAGGGACTTCTGGGGGGTCATCTAGTTCAAGCCCTGGCACTAGACATGTGAGGTGAGATGGACTTAGCTCTTTGTCCAGCTGAGTTTTTAATATATTTGAGAATGGAAATTCCACCTCTCTGGGCACCTGTTTCTGTTTCCAGTCAGAACTTTCTGCATTGCCATTTTTGTTTGTTGTCTCTTTTCTTACCACTACACACCTTGAAGAGTCTGCAGTTGAAGACAGCAATTAAAATCCTCCCTTATCCTTCTTTTCTTACAGCTCAACAAAGATGGTTTTCCAAGTCTCTCTTCATCTTGGGGCTCCTCCAATGCACTGTCTCCAGTATGTTGAAGAATCTACTTACCCAGAAAAGGTACCAGGAGAATTGCTTAAATAACTTTGATTTACATACTTGTAGCTAGTATTTTGCCAGTTGCTGTGACATATAACATGATTTTTAACCTCATTAGAAAACTCAGCTATGCAAAATAAAACATTACTATGTTTTGCAACTCTCCTGAACCTCTTTGTGTTGACACCTGTGCTACCATACACAGAAAACCGTATGGATCCTCAACAAAGGCTGCTTTCACTGAGGCTTAATGTCAAGTAAAAGTTGGCTTCAGAAAGCGGAATAGGTGAAATGCTTCTCAAAACACATACACATCTTGGGTTTGTGTTCCTGTAGATTTTAAACAAAACTTCTTGCAGCATACCATCCTACACACCTTGAAGAAGAATAGGGCTTTCCTGACAGACCTATATCTCCTGTCCTGGGCAGTGCAGGAGACTTGCTTAGATGCTGGTAGTATTGAGAACGGTCTTAGAGCTGCCTTTTGTTGGTTTTAGTATCAGAAAGAGACTGTTAGGGTACCAGGTGCACCAAACTTTCCCTCTCCCAATATCAGCATGTCCTACCCTTCAGCCAATTAAGAAAGCACTAGGCTCTAATTTACCTTTCTGACACTTGGGATTTTCTGAGATGAATAATTAGATCAGCTTTCTGTTTTATTGTGTTGCTGGAATGGAAGCTAATATTAGCCACGGTATTTCCTTATCCCTGACTCCTTAAAATATGTATTATCTAAGCAGGACTACTGCTCATGACTTTTGCTAACTAAGATACTCAGGGAAAAAAACCATCCACAGTAGCATATGCCTCTAGAACTCCCTGCAGAACATCATCATTAAGCTGCCAATCACAGGGTTCTGCTAAGAGCCAGGTCAGGCTGTGATTAGATTTTTAGGCCATGTTCATTTTTGGACTTTTTGCCTGAGAAATTCCACAGGTTCACATGCTTGATTATACAATTACTTTCTTGAATTCATTAAAAATCTCTCCCCATGCTCAGTTTATAGGCCCAAAGTTGATCTTTTTCATCATTTATGTTCTGATAGTAAAAGGTTAAGAAACTGAAATCCAGATTTTCGTCTTTAAAATGTTAGCAATGATCATTCTCTGTTATTTTGTGTTCTACTTTGGTAGAACCAGCAGAGGGTGCCTGAACTAGAGAGCAAGTCCGAGATTTGTGCTGGAATTGATGATGTAAGTGTAAAAAAAAAGGAAACAAACTTTAATTTCCTTCTCTATTAAAACCAAAGAGGTGTATGTTAATGAAAATGAAGATTGAAACTAACTGTGTTAGGGAAACTGAACTGTTAAAAACCTGTCAAAAAAGTAGTGCTAATAATGAAGAGAAAAAATATTTGGGGACTAGGAAAGGATTTTTCATTATCCGATTCTGTCATTGGCTAGCAGCTACTAAAGGACTGGTTCCCTGTGTTTACTGAACACATAAGCTACTTCATGAGATACCTCTGTGTAAGAGGACGGAGCAAGAGAAAATCTTCCAGTGCAGGATTCAGAGCATGTTTCTAATTTATGTTCCCTGGCCACCCCACAATGGAGTTAGTTTCTGCTGAGTACAGTGGGTGCTCAGGGAGACAAAGTTCCGCAGAATCAGACTTTTGGACACCACCTTCTCCTCCTCCTGTCCCTCACTTAATATTAAATGTTGCAAGAGAGAAAGTTTCTGGTAGTTCCTTTCATGAATAGTCTTTTCAGTACCAGTACAGAGAGCCCATGCAAAAAGAAACATACATAGATTCATCACAATATATTTAAATTGAATAAATATTGTTTTACATATCTGAATAAGTAACTGGAAAGTTCCAGATGTGGAAAGGGGATTGACTTCGGTGACCTTGGAATCCTTAGCTCAGGAGGATAGATCTAAGAATCAGAATGTACATATCAGTGACAAAGTCTGCCTTTTCTTCACCATCAGAAGAGGTTTGTTCTATATGAAGAAAGCAATAAAGCTTTTTTTTTTCTTTTCAAAGAAAAACAAATATTTCCCTCAGTTATCCATTTATGATAAGATTCAACTAACATGGTTGGTTCAGCTATGTTCTATCCTTACCTATAGCTATTCCTCTGAGGAAAAGTCCTTATATATTTGTATCTTGATGACTTCTAATATTTCACTTGTTTGAATAATCATGAAGCATTATGTAGAAGTAATGTCACACAATGGCATTATCAGCAAATGGAATTTTGGTCAACCTGCCTGAACATGTTGTGTATTTCTGTTATTTATATAAACACAGGTGAGGTACTCACACCCCTTAATGTAAACTAGCAAAACTATGTTATGAAAAGGAAATGGGTAATACTAGTCAAGGAATCTGGGTTCCATCACTGTCCCATTGTGCTAAACAAATCTTATCTTCATATAAATGGCCCATCTCCTGCAGCAAAGACTGGAGTATTTCTCTGAGTAAAATTGCTTTTAATGTCAATAAATAGAAGGATAAGTCAAAGTACTGTGGTCTAGAGGAATGAGCAGAGCTCAAGCAGGCAGACCTGAATAAAATTCACCCTTCTGTGAAGGAGAAATCTAGAACACTTAAGTCACATTGAAATACCCGGTTAGGTCAGTGTGGGAGACCTGATGCCCAGGAGCTCTTTTTCTGCAGGTAAACATCCTTTAAAAAGTAACATGCCACTTCTAAGCAGATACAATTAATGCAGTGTCAGTAAAAGCTTGTGGAGCACTTTGCAAATGAAAAGGGAAGTTAAGCAGTTTGTAATCTAATTGAAAAGTCATGGATTTGCAATTTAGAAGAAGGGCAGGGCCAAGTGTCACTGCAGGTGACTGGGATCACTGTGGAGTTCTGCCGCTTTAAACACAAGTGTCACACTGTGTAGAGGGTAGGAAATTGCTCTTGCCTCTTATATTGAGGAAATCCTTTCCAGGGGATGCCACAAAGTCACTGACTAACAATTAGGAATCATCTACTTCTGTGTCTGATAATGTTTCCTGTATTTGTCCTGGCTGTCTGAATAAGAATTGTCTTGCCTCTGCGTGGTTTTATATTACTATTTTGGGGGGGTTTGTGATTCTCTGTTGTTAGAAGATGTTCTCCTATGGTTTTCTGAGGGAGGAAACAGTGAGGTGTAGGGTGAACAGGGGACAGGAGGGAAGAGGAGGAAAGAATCATTTAGTCACAGTTACACCACTTTAACTTGGTGTTTACGTAACAGTTGCAAAGACTTGTGTAACCATCTTTGCTATGTCTTTGCTAGTAAGTAAAATAATCTTCGGACTTTCTGTTCCTGAGACCAACTGGCCTACTCTGGCTTGTGTCTGCCGCTGATGCCACTCAGACATACACCACCCTTGCTGGGACAGTGTTTATGGGCAAAGCCATACCATGAACCACAATAACTGTTTAAAAGTATGGATGATCGGCTGCCACTGTGTGACTCCTTGCCTTAGCCCTGTTTCATTTACTGGTAGAGATGGAGCTTACTCTGGAAAAAAAGTGTTTTTTCTGGTTTACTGTCTATTGCTTGGGAAAAGGTTGTACTGCACTGTAATGCAATGGCCAGGATGGCAGCACCAACAGCTTTATTTACTGTTTTAAAAATGGATAGCAGACATGGTTGCTCAACTTGCCCTAATTAGAACTAGACTTCAGGTTTTAAATTTATGGGAGCTCACACACAAGACCTTAACTAAACAAGACTGAAATGAAAAGGATGCAATAAATAAGTAAGATTAAGGAGAGATTTGAATATTGGAAAGATGGAAGTTATTTCCTTTAAGTCTCTGTAAGCAGCCTGAGTAAGGAGGGGGGGGGGGATGGGGGACTGTGTGTGAAAAACGATGAAGATAGAGCAACATGCTAAAAGCTGAAATGAGAATGCAGAGACTTAAGCACACAAAAACTCAAGGACTTGAACTCAAGAAGGTAATACTGAAAGCAGACACCTTGAGCTCTGTCCTGGGTTCAGCAGTAGCAGTCATTTTTCTCCTTCTTAGTAGCTGGTGCAGTGCTCTGTTTTTGACTCTCAGCCTGAGAACAACGCTGATAACACCAGTGTTTTTAGTTGTTGCTCAGTAACGTTTACTCTGACCAAGGACTTTCTGAGTCTCATGCTCTGCCAGGGAGGAGGGGAAGCCAGGAGGAAGCAGAGACAGGACACCTGATGCAAACTGACCAAAGAGGTATTCCATACCACAGCACATCATGTGCAGTATATAAACTGGGGGCAGTTACCCAGAAGGGCTAGATCACTGCCAGGGTTGGTCTGGGTATAGGCTGGCGGGTGGTGAGCAGTTGTATTCTCTTCCCTTGTTATTTCCCTTATCATTATTATTATTGGTGGTAGCAGCAGTGGTTTGTGTCATACCTTAGTTACTGGGCTGTTCTTATCTCAACCCGTGGAAGTTACATTCTTTCGATTCTCCTCCCCATCTCTCCAGGAACAGGGGGGAGGAAGGGATGGGGGGGCAGAGTGAGCGAGCGGCTGTTTCTGTGTTGCCAGCTGGGCTCTAAACCATGACAGTTCTTTTTGGTGCTGAGCGTGGGGCATGAAGGGTCGAGATAACGACAGATCTGACTGGAGTGTGTCTAATCGTATTTGTGATAAGCATTTACTGTTTTGGATTAAGTCACTCATCAAAATGCTGATTTATTGGCTCTCAAAGCTGTTGCTCTTGATCTCACAGTTCCAGCATGTCGTACCTTACTTACAGCTGGTATTTGCTGTATTAGTGTTTATCGGCTGGGGGCCTTAGCTAAGGTTCTCATTTCATTGTACTTTATGGTAATGACTTGTAATACAGTAGACTCATTGATCATGAAACTGATCTGGCTTGCGTTCCCAGTATGGTCACCACCTCTATACTTTGGGAGGTATATAACAGAAGTGTTTAGCAATTACACATCTTTTTCCCCCTCCTAGGGTGGTCAACCTGTGAAGGAGACTTTCCCTTACCTTCCCAGCCTCCCCATCAGACCGTTTAGAGTATCATTTGAGAGTTCTGAAGATTTAGAATGGCCTTTGGGTACCCTTGAGACCTGCCTGCTTATTGTAATGGGGATCACCATGTTGGCACACATATATAGAATCATAGAATAGTTAGGGTTGGAAAGGACCTTCAGATCATCTAGTTCCAACCCCCCTGCCATGGGCAGGGACACCTCACACTAAACGTCAACCAGGGGAGCACATCATCACCTGGTTGCTCCAATGCTGGGACAATGGAGCCAACGGTCATGAACTAGAAGGTAGGGAAGCCAAGCAGCTGGAATCACTTGCTAGGGAAAGGGGAATTGAGAAAGCAATTGCAAGAGAGAAACAGTCCCTAAGCCTTTGGAAGCGGCCAGTCGTGACCACAACAGTGCACTGGCAGCAATATTGCACCAGTCGAGACTCCCTGATTCCCATCCATAAGCTGATCCGTAGACTGGAGAGCCAAGGAGTGAATCCATAGGACCCGCTCACCCTTTAACAGCCCCATATGGCCAGTGCGAAAGTCTAATGGAGAGTGGAGATTAACGGTAGACTATCATGGCTTGAGTGAAGTCGCGACCACTGGGTGCTGCCGTACCGGACATGGTAGAACTTCAATATGAACTGAAGTAAAAGGCAGCACAATTGATATTGCCAATGTCATGGTTTAAGTCCAGCTGGCAACCCAGAACCACACAGCCACTCACTCACTTTGCCCCCTCCCCTTCCTCCCCCCGCTCCTGGAGGGATGGGGAGGAGAGTCAAAAGAATGTAACTTCCACGGGTTGAGATAAGAACAGTCCAATAACTAAGGTATAACACAAACCACTGCTGCTACCACCAATAATAATAATGATAAAGGAAATAGCAAAGGAAGAGAATACAACACCTCACCACCTGCAGACCGATACCCAGCCCAACCCCAGCACTGATCTAGCCCTTCTGGGTAACTGTCCCCAGTTTATATACTGGCCATGACGTGCTGTGGTATGGAATACCTCTTTGGGTAGTTTGGATCAGGTGTCCTGTCTTTGCTTCTTCCCGTCTTCCTCTCCTCCCTGGCAGAGCATGAGACTCAGAAAGTCCTTGGTCAGAGTAAACATTACTGAGCAGCAACTAAAAACATCGGTGTTATCAGTGCTGTTCCCAGGCTGAAAGTCAAAAACAGCACTGCACCAGCTACCAAGGAGAAAAATGACTGCTACTGCTGAATCCAGGACATGCTCTTTGTAAGAAACATGGAAACATGTCACTGACCTAGTGGCAGAAGAAATGTACCTCAAACCAGCATTGATCAAAATTATTCTTGCATTTAAAGGCTCAAATGGCTGTCCCTTACCTCAGATTATTTTTTCAGTTTTCAATAAACATTACAACAAAAGAGACATTTTCTTAAGTAATCTGTGGCAGTTAAACGGATATGAAATAAAAACTATAGAAAGAAGGTACTTACCTGCTGTCTAATCAGATAGATGCATGTAGGAAGGATTTTTGGCACTCCATTACATTTATGTGGGACTGTCTTTGCCTGGATGTGTGTTTGTGTGTCTCCTCTTCTAGCAACACTAAACCATTTGGCATAGGTAGCATTCTGAAGCAGATAACCTTATTTCACTTGCACTCATTTTATGATGGGTTCTCCCTAAGGTTTTATTTTCCTAAATAAAGCAAAGAGCTTTTCTCCTTAGAAGCTGTTCTATTTTCCTCACAATGGACGAGGAAATACAGGAAAAGGGAATATAGTGCTGCTGTACTTACTGCTATTCATGTTAATGTTATTGTACCCACATAAATAATTTAGTGAAGAGATTTTTCAAGTCTATTTTACACAGACACTGAAATATCTCAGGTAATTGCTCTGGAGCTTTATTTACTCTATCATAGATCAAAGAAATCACATGGTGGTACTGTGAAAAATATTCATACTCATGCCCCTGCAGTATTATTACCACAGCTGGCATCAAGTCATCTGAGGCCCCCTTGTGAACAAAGAGGAAGCACTTCACACTTCCATCTCTGAAAATGTACTCATTTGGTAGAACTATAGAATGGTTTGGGTTGGAAGGGACCTTAAAGCTCATCCAGTTCCAACCCCCTGCCATGGGCAGGGACACCTTCCACTAGACCAGGTTGCTACAAGCCTCGTCCAACCTGGCCCTGAACACTGCCAGGGATGGGGCAGCCACAGCTTCTCTGGGCAACCTGTGCCAGTGTCTCATCACCCTTACAGGGAAGAACTTTTTCTAGTATCTAATATAAGTGTATTCTACATAAGGTCTGCATGCACTTCTGTCGAGTGCCTGGCAAAGAGGCAGGAATTATTATGGGCTCCCTTTTATATTTGTACCCTTTGATGTGAAAGACAGGTAATAGGAATTCAGGTAATAGGAAGAGTTTTTCTTGTCTGCACATAAACACTAGCAATGCAGTGGTGAAGAGCTGTAGGTGAGAGTGATGTGATGCCCATAAACGCCGCAGTCCCTGGAGTTTTTTTTAGCACTTGTGGGTTTCCAGCACCACGAATTTTGGAGCCCAGGGTTTAAAGTCAGTGTCTGAAACGCTGGCCAGAGCGGGTGTGAGAACCGGGTGTGCGAACCGGGTGTGCCTCTGCAGGCGGTGCCATGGGAGGCATGTCCAAGGGCAGGACTGCTGCAGGAACACGGGCTGGGAAGAGCTCCACGCTGCAGAAGAGATGCACATGGCCTGTGCCCGGGGCCGGGGGTGCTGCAGCTATGCTGGGTGCCGCCGCGGAGCTCCGGGGTGACCAAAATCCGTGCAGTACCCAAGGGTCAGCCGTGAAGCTTTCCTCAGTAAGGCCGGCACTGGCTTTTGATCTCTTAACATGAGCCATGCAGCGGCCAGCGTTGTTTACAAGCAGAGAAAGGCCGCGCAACCCTCCCCTCCCCTCGGGTCCACGTCCAGGGAATATCAGAGCGCCCTAACTCCGAAAACGACCTTCACCCCTGTCACATGCGTGGCCTCTCCCCTGCAGCCTTGACTGCTCCAGCCCCGCCAGAACTGGCCGCCTCGGCCTGGACACCGCACGGTCAGCGGGGCTGTCTTCCCTGCCAGGCGGGGAAAGGGGGTGGAAGGGGAACGGAGAGGCGGGGAAGGGGCCGGCGCTGCCGTGGGGCAGGCGCTGGCTCCAGGCAGCGGGGCGGCTCCCTCCGCGCCGCGGCCCTGATAAAGGAGCCCCGCGGGCAGGTCGGGGGTGTCGGCCATGGCGTGGGGCTGCGCTTTGTGCCTGGCGCTCGCGGGCGGCGCGCTCCTGGTCCTGCTTGTGCAGGTGCTACGCTGGCTGCGGGCCGATGGCGACCTCACGTTGCTGTGGGCCGAGTGGCGGGGCAAGAAGCCAGGTAAAGCCGCCCGCCCGCAGCCGCCGGGAGCGTGGCGGTGGCCCTGGGTGGGGTGCGGTGGTGGGTCTGTGGTGACCCGTGAGGGGAGAGGGGATGGCGGCGTGCGGGGAGGGGAGAAGAGGGGACCTCAGCGGTGGCGATGGAGTCGCCTCAGGCTCAGTAGAACCAATTCTCAGCAGCTGGCCGAAGGCTCGTCTGTAGAAATAACCCCAAAGCATAGTTTTCCTGTCCTTACCCAGCAAGGTGTGTGGTGCTTATCATGCCAGTAAAGCAGTTCTAAAAGCAGCTTGAGAGAGTAGTGAGCTCCAGCAGCTTTATGGGGAGGGCTCGTTTGTTTTGCCCAAAAAGGCTTGTTTTGTACTGTTCCTGGGCAGATATCCAGCTCTGGCGTGAGCCTGCGGAGGAACGGAGGCTGTTTGGTTGGGCACGTGACTGAGGGACAGTGTTGAAGGAAGGGCTGATAAGGGCCTGTAGTGATAGTAGTAAGGTATATTGCTTGCACTATTGTGCACCTGCTGTTGGTGCCTACAACCAAGTGACCCTCTTAAAACAATAAGGAATTTACGGGCCTCTCCAGATTCTCTTTATGTTTGAGGGATCAAAGGATAACATCCAAAGTGACCATTCAATTAACTAATTTGACAAGAGAACTAACATTTTGAATTGTCCAACAGTGACCTGTCTTCATTATAATACTAAAAATCATGGCCACAGCTCAAAAAACTCCTGGCCCAGGTGGAGACCCTTCCCTGAGCATGTGTAGGAACTAGAAATATCACAGCAAATACTAAGATTATATGTGGATTAGAAACAGTCACTGTAACTGGGAATGTACTACCTTTTGTTGTATCTTTTGTGTATAAATATACAGAAGAAAGCCAGCGCTGGTGTGCTTGATCTGTGGAACAGTCCACACTCAGGCATGGATAAACAGTATCTCTCCTGAGCGTGTGGAATTGGTTTACTGCATGCTGGGCATAAATCTGTTTTTTGGACAACAGGGTGAGGGGTAATGGCTTTAAATTGAAAGAGGATAGATTTAGATTACATGTAAGAAAGAAGCTTTTTACTGTGAGGGTGGTGAGACACTGGCAGAGGTTGCCCATAGAAGCTGTGGCTGCCCCATCCCTGGCAGTGTTCAAGGCCAGGTCGGATGGGGCTTTGAGCAACCTGGTCTAGTGGAAGGTGTCCCTGCCCATGGCAGGGGCATTGGAACTGGATGAGCTTTAAGGTCCCTCCCAACCCAAACCATTCTGTGGTTCTGTGATTCTGTCTCTTGTGCTGTAAACTGTAATTATGGAGAAAGGTCTTAATACAGGTTAGACTAGTTTTATTTCAATCCTTCATTTCTAGAAGGAGAATTCAGTTCTGGATTTTATCACTGGCAGGTGCTGTATTGCTTCCCATCTTCTAAATACTTGTGTGGACAGGAGGCAAGGGTTTCTGGGTGCTGGGTAACTTTCCTGGTGGGTTGTGTATTTCATTACCTGAACAGCAGTCACTCTAAACGGTGTGTTTTTCACAAGCAGAGTAATAGTATCAGGACAAGGAGGATCCTTTTATCTGTGAAAGCCTACATATCTGAAAGGCAGCTCCTAAAGCTGGGAATAATGGTATGATTCTTTAGGCCTGCAGGGAGGATGTTCTCCTTTAAACCTCCCCACCCCAAGTTTTTTCATAACTGAAAAGGACATGGCAACCTTGTGCTACAGGAGCTATAAAATGTTGGGAAAGAACCCTAAATAGAGCTACAAAAGCATTTCCTGGATTACTTGCGGTACTACTCTGTTCAGCCTCTCGTGTGCTATACCTTGTAACCCAGTAGTTGATGGTTAATATAATATGTTTTTATTCTTTAATTTGTCAAGGTTAATTTTAAAACTTATTTCCAGTAGCAACAGGACCTTAATTGTGGAGCAAGCTGGTGGTTTGATACTTGTTCTACATTGGCATTTGAGCTAGTTTTTCCGTTATGTTAACTCCCAGTAACTCAGTGCTTAGTAAGTGTCAGCGCTGGGGAATCAGTGGAAAACTTTCCTTATCTCAGTTAATTATTCTGCCCATAGAACAAGATCCTGAATAACTGCAATGAAGCTGCCCAAGACAGGTTGGGAACAGTGAAAGTGAAACTAAGTGGTAGAGGGAAGCAGATTTGTTTTCAGTAGCAAGAGGAGATAGATGAGTGTGGTGAGAAGGGTTCAAAGTATGTCATGTGTTGTTTTGTTCATGTAGTGTTTTGTCTACATGGGTTTTCTGCCAAAAAAGTAACAGGAGAGATGAGCCCTCATGTTTCTTGTGGTTAATTTGATGAATTTGTAATGTATTGGAATAAAGCTGTAGGAATGAGTGTGAATAGGATTTACAGACAGCAGCTGCTTGGTATAATGAATAATACTTTGATCATTCCTACTTCAGCAACACCCCTTTCCACTTCGCAAGTTCATAACCTTAGAATACATCTCTCGCTTAGAAAGTGATTGTTGTTTTTGTTACTGTTTTTGGGAAAAAAAAAAAAAAAGAAAAGAAAAAAAAAAAGAACCCCAAACCATCAAAGCTTGGTTTTAGGAGGGGTTTTTCTTTGGCTAAAATACAGTCAGCTTAAAAAAAGGTGAACGGTACTCACTGTCAGTCCCACAAACTCCAGCAGAGATCTGATAGTCTTAAATGCTCTCTGCTCTTGTCAGAAGGGTCGAACATTTTGGTGCTGGTCTCTTCATGGGATTTGTGTCATTAAGACTCTGAAAGTAGAAATTTGAAACACGCTGTAGTGTAGAGAGAACCAGGAACTGATTACTGAAGTAAGCAGGAAGTAAAAGCACTTCCAGCCTGTGGTTGCAGTGAAAAAGAAGTACTTCTGCTAACTTAAAAGAGTGGGTAAATTTCAGTGAGCTGAGAAGCGCTGTTCTGGCCTTTTTTTAGAATAGAGCTGGCTTTAATTCTCAGAAACTGTATTTGGCTCTGCTGTTTGAATTACACCATGAAAACTTTCTTGGTATAATATTGTTGGAATGCTCTTCTCTACAAACTTGAAAAATAGAAGGAAGAGCTCCTGTCAGTGCTCTGAGTATTTGAGTCAGATTTTCAGTAAAACTAGCATTCACTAATCTTGAACACATACAGGTGTTAGGCAATGATGTGTTCTGGAAAGTGCTCTGATATTAGTGATCATTCATCATAGAATCATCAAATGGTTTGGGTTGGAAGGGACATTAAGGATCATATAGTTCCAACTCTCCTGCCACAGACAGGAACACCTTCCACTAGACCA